AAGTGCCGCGCACTTCATTATTCCAGCCGTGTTCGTCCTCAGTAATGATGACCCTGGCAATCGATAGGCCTAATTCCCAAATAACTGGCTGGTAGCATTGCAAAGCGGCCTAATGATCAAATAGGGTCGATGGTCTAAAAATACCTCCACCCTCCCCCCCCCAAAAAAAAAAAACTGGTAGCGCACATCCGCACATTGCCTTCATACTGGTGCACATGAAAAAATTCATTCCACACATGGATTGAAAAAATTAGAGGGAACATTGGTCGTAACCTTAAGTATTGAAAACGAAAATCGGTTTTAGGTGGAAAAGACACCTATTCCACCGAAATTGGCAAACGCATTAAACAGGCTGAATTGCGTGACACAAAATGTATACACAAACCATCTTAAGTGCTACAAGCAATCCACAATCTACTTTTTTTCGTCAATCTGTGCATACCAGTAGTCAAACACCAGGTTTGATATCTTAAACCCATGCATGTAGACCTTTGTCTACGTGTGATTAGAGAAATACATAAACAAGTTCATTCACTTAAATCCAACATAACATTTGTGTTCCTTCTTCTTCACGATTTCTACTAGAAACAACCAGAAACTCTTTGGCTGTTGTATTACTGTCTTTCGACATGAGATCTATTTTGTCTCCGGTAATTATCCTAGTGCTCCTTGAAAGCCATCGTGGTTGTGACTTTATTTTTGTAATGATAACGATCAACTGTTCTACTCAGGTGACCATCTATCCCTACAAACGCACCATAAAATTGACCAACAAGTTACGAGTTCTTGCCCTGTGATGATATTAGGTGCACAATCTGTCACCATCAACTAAGATTTTCTGGGGTAACCCAGAGTAGGGCGAACAATCTCCCTAGATTTTTATAGAGGGAGCAAATGGGAACGCCAGCTGTCACCCACAAGTAGAAGAATTCCTATGGGGACTAAAATAACAATGACATTTCCAGATATATTGTGTCACTAGTTACTTCACAATATCCTTCGTGTCATATAACATTTCAGGTTCGTTGAAAATCCCCCCCCCCGTAAAAAGAAGTTCCTACAATACTGACACTTGTCTTCAACCTCTTTTGTTTCTCCTAATGTGCTAAGGCCTGGCATGGCGTGGTGGTTAGGGCGATCGATTCGGAATCTGCGGGTTCGAATCTCCTTCACATCGAACATGCTCGCCCTTTCAGCCGTAGGTGCGTTATAAGTTGACGTTCAATCCCACTGTTCGTTAGCGGTTGGTGGTGTTGACTAGCTGCCTGCCTTCTAGTCTATTACTGCTAATTTATGGGCGGCTAGTGCAGATAGCCCTCGTGTAGCTTCGCGCGAAATTCAAAACAAACTTATTTTGCTGATAATTACTCCATCTGGAAACTGACGCCCATGTAATTATAATCCAATGCTGACAAACCCTGGTATTTGTAGAAATAACAGTTTTAGCGAGTGCACAAAGGGACAGAAAACGGCGTGCTTCTTTCATTGGTACCATTACCGCATCACGAAGTGGGAAAACATTAGTCTGAGTCCTACACTATGAAACAACACTTTCATCTTTAGAGTGAAAACAGTAATCGTTAAAATGGGAAGACTGAGCAGAGAGTGTACGGATATGTACATAATTGAAAGATAAATAATGAAGTCGGAACACGAAAAAAGTCGCAAAAAAGGGCATTACATAAGCATCGACTTTGTTTTCTACTCTTTGCATGGTCGCCGAAAAAAGCAAAACCAGGTCAGAACTGAAAAACGTTTTATTTATACAAAGAATAGGAAAATATTCTCCGAGGCTTACTAGGAGAGTAGTCTAAGTAAAACAAAAGAAAATTACCCCAATGACACCCAAGGAGAAAGGACCGCTTTCTGGTTCATTTCCATCTAAATGTTGAGGAGACGAAAGTGTCACTTTGCTGGTCACACAGATCAAACAGCAGTCTACACTGGAAATAACTGGACACGTGAAATTCGTAAGATTGTGGTTACAATTGAACATTAAAAACCTTTTAAGAAAAAAACTCAGATTCGGAACTAGACATACTTTTAAAAATGGTTTAAGGAAAATTACATTAATATTTTTAACATATATATTTTGCTTACTTTAAATATTGTTGTTATAATGTACTTTTTTTTTCACGCAGAGTTGGGGAGACGGGCAAGTGGAAGTCTAATGGAATCCTAACTTCTGACAACAGAACTCATTATCAAGTCATTGGACTTCAGCCTTACACAGTGTACTCCTTCAGGATTCTTGCTGTAAATGCCATTGGTGCTAGTCAACCCAGTAAACCTTCCTACTACATAGTAACACTCAGGGAAGGTAAGATTTGTTCTAAAGATGTTTAAGTCAAATTAGAACTTTCTTGATGATATTAACATAAAATCCTCTGTATTAGGCTGTAGATTATTCTAATTGTTTACATTGAACACGATTCTGTTTTTAAAGGACTCTGAGTAAATTAATTTTGATATCGTCTGGTCAGAAATTTTGTTTGAATACCAAACTGCTTTAGTACTTTTAAAGAATTTTACATTTTTTAAAGAAAACAAAAACGTTTTGTCACATGAAAGAAAAACTAGAAATTTAATCTAAATTCAGATCCTGCATTTTAAAATATGCTACTTTAACGAATCGCTAACCAGAGGGTAGCAAGTTTGTTGTTGTACTGTGCTTTAACATTTATGTTTAAACCTAAAACTAAAAGTGTTTTAATATGTAGTAAAAGAGATCCGCAAAATATTTGCGGTCACATTAATATCTTCATTGCAACAACACTTCTTTAAACATAGGATTTATAAAAAAATACTAAAGAATTATAATCGCAGACACCGAAATCTATAAGTCCACTTGTCTTAAGCAGTGTTAGGTAAGCCTTTACAAGTTTATTACGTACGGCTTATATATATTTGATAAAAAGATAAGTTAACACCGTAACTTGTGTACGTTTTTTGCTTTAGTTAGGGCTAAATTTTACCGTACTTAATATATTCAATAAATAAACTTGTAACGTTATTTTACGACCTAACATTAGACCATTATAAAACCTTGATAGGTTTTTATTATGCTGTTATTCAAAATCTTTACTAAAGTGTATTTATATCCGCCTTTTGTTTACATCTGTTGAAATGTGTGCGCGTGCATTTTCAGGATAGACAAAAACTAAGGCCCACAGTGGCATGTCTCTGTGGACTTACAACGCTAACCGGGTTTCGATAGACGTGGTGGGCAGAGCACAGATAGCCCTTTGTGTAGCTTGGTGCTTAACTACAAACAAACATAAACTAAGTATTATTATTATTATACATTCGGCCAATATAGCTGAGAATTCCCTATCACAATATACACACAGAGACAGTTTGTTATATTTGACATTATTTTTAAACATCTTTGTGGGTTGCAATTGAAAGACATGAAATCTAATATAATTTACAGTCGCTATACAAGTCAAATATGTAAAAATTGGTATATATATACTAGTTATTCTCACATTACCACCCTTTTGAACACCAGATAATTTTTACTGTTTTGATAAATGTCTACTTTTCTGAGAACACGTCTGGAAACCTTATATATTGCAGAATGAAAATACACGCATTAGTTCCTTGATAGATATATCAGTCTCTTACTAGAAAGTGCTAATGTAGTGGAGGTTTCAAGAACGTATTTATCTAACTCGTAGAAAGTGTTCCTCTCTCTCTCTCCGATAAGACCTCCAAATTTGTTGATTCTTCCAAAGTGACCGTGTATGCTCACTTTGGTCGTTTTTATATATAAATAGCAACATGCTAAACATTTATTTATTTTATTCATGTTCTAAGAACTAACGTGTTAAAGTGAGCTGTACGAGCGAAAAGTTTATGAAAAGAGTTTATGCAAGGTAGAATAGATAAGTGATAATGCTAAAAAAAAAGAAAAAGTTAAAAAATACTGCAATGAAATAATAAAATATGAAAAAAGCAGCACTCCGATTTGTAGAACTATTGGCGAAGAAAAAGAAAGTTTATATTCAAAGTACCGATTTTTTAAAACTTAGTTATTTCCAGTCGCCCTAGATTAGAATATTCGTACTAATATCCAAATTCAAGGGCCCAGTGTAATTCATGGCTGTTTCGTCGAACCCCTTTTGAAAATCCTTTTATAGTAATATTATATATCAGTTGGAACACATTTGAATGTAAATTCATAGACGTAGGAACCGGGGGAGGGGCATATGTTCCCCAATAATTAAGCTGGAGCCGAATATCATTGCCTACCTCTCAATAATTTGCTGACAACAATTTTTAATTTAGTCTTTTTCTGTGCATTTAACATGTACATAACCATTTCGAAAAAAAAACGTGCCATATCAAATGTGCATGACGAAGCAAACATGTGTAAATACGATTTTATAGAACACAACAAACAATTTAATTTATGTTCTGAATATTTCTGTATGTGTTTATTACTTTAAAGCCTATTTAATAATTGCCCAACATTTTTTTTTCCATTTGCGACTGGCTCCCCCCAGTGTTTTTTATGTTCTGACGTGCCTGAAATTTGTTAAGTTGGTGGCGGAAGATGGAAGAATATTTCCTTATATATGTGCATGTCTGTGTATATGCATTATCTTCGATATCGTTCATCTTCCTACTTTCCCCACAAAGGTTGCACGTATTACCCCCTCCCCAGTGACTCAGTGGTACATCCGAAGGATTATAACGCTAAAAACCGGGTTTCGATACACGTGGTGGGCACAGCACAGATAACCCATTATGTAGCTCTGTGCCTAACTACAAGCCAAACAAACAAATGCACGTTTTTATATAGCTAAAATAAGTTTAGTCTACAATGAGATTATCATCTTTCACGATTCATTCAACACCCTTTAAGAAAAAGTCCGACTTGTTTTTTTTTTTGTTGTTGTTGTTAGAGAAAACCCTCCTAAATATTTACATGTATGTTGTAAAGTCAAAATGTGGTATTACTTTGCTTTTCTGTGACGTTTTGTTTCAGGATACTGTGTGTATAACATCAGAATTACCACTCATTTTTTTTTCTATTGAGTTATTAACCGTAATGAAACATTTTATAGATTTCAAATTTTCAGCAACAAATGTTCCAATAATATTTCTCACTTCTGAACAGCAAGACGCACATATTTTTAAACAGGCAGAATTTGTAAATGGAAATACTGTATGTAAAATCTATTTGCACCTCGCAACTTCATTTTTATAATGCTAGAAACCTTGTTTCGATACTCATGGTGGCCACAGCACAGATAGCCTATTGTGTAGCTTTACGCTTAACAACAAACAAACTTAACTAACTTTAATAGCAGAATTTAAAACTGTTTTTTAGTTTAAAAGGTCTTAAACTAACTCCACTTTACTCCAACGTATATAATTTTCGTATGTACAGTCGACAAATATGCTGCGTTTTCAATTTATAGCAGTGGGACATATTCCCAGATACAGAAATGTAAACAACTTCCTTCCTGACACACTGTTTACTTTTACCAGAAAGCTCGTCTAATTAAAATTTGAATTATCAGTACAGTGAATAATACTTAAATCACTGCCTAATATATTTTTACAAGATGAGTGTGACCTTCAGATTAAACTAAGTAGTGTTGTGATACTGGGGATTCCCCTTATTACGTGCCCAAGCTGAATGCTGGCATTATCTTTAGAGTAGAAGCATATTGTGGTCATGAAGTATTATTAAATCATGCTTCATATGAATTTATCTGTATATATAGATTAGTTTCACCAGGTCTATTATGTGAAGCTTATGACCGACTTTGTGACATATACATCAGTGGTGCACAACATTCGGCACGTTAACTGCTTTAATCTGGCCCTTAAGTATTTGAATATTATGAGAAAAATAAAACGGCCTTAAAAGGAATAAATGTTCTGTTATTTTTAAATGAACTACAGACTGTTATTGGATCTTTTTTTCTTCATAAAATATGCGTTAAGATGCTCCTAGTGTTAAAAAATAGCTATTGATTATTTTGCTAATAGGCCTAACTCGCGAATGTAATTAAAAATTTCTAAAACATGGGTATTAGATTTTGCCTCACAGATTTTGGTCCCTGGCCACTTGTCTTTTTTTCAGAACTGTCTCTTTCCAAAATAAAGTTATGCACAATTTATATCTATATTTTCAGTATACTCTTGATTACAATAATAAGAGTACATTAGCCTTTCTAAACATTTGTATTGAATTAAATTGATACTTAATACAGAATATATACAAAATTATCAACATTTCCATGCATAAGAATTTTTTTACAGTTTACATGCAGTGTTTATGAGGTTCGCATTTGACAACTAGCTGTCCAATTTTTGCAGTAACTACTTAACTATATTTACATACTTACAAGGTTTAATAAAGTTTACGAAATATCAAAACTTTGATAATTTTTGGTGCTAAAACAGAGGATAATGTGTTACACAGCTTCTGAATTAAATATCACTAAATGAAGCTACTTTTACATGATATAATGAAAATATGTCGTGATTTTTGCGGTTTTTCTGAGAGCTATATGCTACCATAACTTGTGTTTACAACATGCCAGAAAATCAATTCAGACCTTTTCCATAAAGGATGTTGAACAAAGCCTACAAACTCAGCTTGTTCCTCGTAATCTAGCTAAACTAATACAACATCAACTGCAAGGTATAAAACTTGTAGGCTTGTGCACTAAGTGTTTATAGTCGAGAATAATAATACTGAAAATATAATACTCACTCGAATACATTTTCCTACTTGGTTTATTTTAATTAATGCCAGTAGTCTTTATTTAAGCTAACATAACTTTCTGGTTTCTATATCTTTGGTGTAATTCTAATAAAGATTCTTGCCTTTATAAATATAATTTGATGACTTGACATTTCATTACGATTTGAACTGGACTGTTAACATTTACTGTGCTTTCAAAAGCTGGGTAAGTTCGTCAGTATTTGTAACTAGATTTCTATGGACTTTTATGAGTAAACTTAATTAACTAACTTATAGGTCAAAAAACAAAAATCTCTATAACACGAGCGCTTTTGAAAGATAGATCTCCCTTCTTTAGGAATGAATTGGAGAGGTTCTTTATTTATTTCATTACTTCTTAAATACTTAAAATAAATTACCAGCTTAAAACAATTGAATGTATTATGTTACAGTGAAATTTTATCTGACATTTTTACTTAGATTAAACATGTTTAATATTGAAATGTTTCGTTATATTAAAATAAACACTTTAAACAAATTTATTAACAGCACCAGATGGAAAACCAACTATCTTATCTGCACACAACACGAGTAGTTCTTCAATACGCCTCCAGTGGGCGCCTCCTCCCAAAGACACTATCAATGGAGAATTTCTGGGTTATCGGATAGTGTACAGGCCACGTGACCGGCCTGGGGTCGAAAGGGGACGAATATTAAGAAGTCCATCTTTACGAGTAAGGAATTTTAATTTTTGTATTTTATATATATAAACTGTGTATTCGGTATTTTGTGGCTCTTAAACTTTAGATAGAAAGCAACACCGAAGCTTAGTTGAAGTGAACTGTGACGTTATGTGCGTGTTGTCATTTCTAATTCAGCGATATATTACACTTACAGTACCCACTCGCTTTTTTGCGGTCATGACTTGCCATCTGCTCTGAGACCGAGAAAGCTAAACAAAGGACGTCTCGCTCTCTCATGCATTCTTTTTTTTTTTTCTCTCGTTAAAAATTGAAGGTTAGCTTTTATTTTCTTAGCCCGTATACCTAACTCTTGAAGTTTAAAGACAAAACATCATAAATACTGTCAGTTTGTTTTTGTATATAAACGAAATATTAAATTTAAAGTCACGTGGAACTCAACAACTTTATCATGTTTTTATGTTTAGCTCATTTTAGTATTAAAATTTGTGACTGCACCTAATGGTACAAAAACTCACAGGTATTTAAACCTTTTTCATGCATATTTTTGCCAGTATTTCTAGGCTGTGTATGTAAAATAGTGTATGTTAATATACGATTTTAAAATCGAGATTAACTTTTCAAAATCATGTAGCATCATTTTAATCCAATTAAAACTGAAAAACATTACATTTTTACACATACAGATGGAGAAAACATAACAAGCAAGTAAGGTTATTGGGAATCACAATTTTCCAAGGTCACTAAAATTAAATAGTTAAAGTGAAAGCATCTATTTATGGATGTATCTTGTCCATAGAGCTTTCGTTTTCTTTAATGTAATAAAATTTCTTAAACATCTTTCCCTTTAAATATGAAGCAGTTCTTATTTTACCTTATTGCTTTATTATATACATGTATTACTGCTACGCATTTGTAGTCCTATGCTTTTTGGATTGCAAGAAGTAATAATGTACAGTCTATGAAATTAAACCTACAACTAACAGTAGACCTATATGCAGGAAAGGAAATGGGACTTAGAAACTAGGTACACACTTAGAAGGAATAGTAGGGTGATAGGTATAAAAAAGCAAATAGAAAAGATAGGAGGTTCTTATTTTATATTCTAGCTTGTCAGTATCAGTAATTTGAGTTCCTAATTTGTAAGAAACTATAGACTTTGTATTTGGCCATTATATATATCTAATTGAAACCAGTGCTGCATTCAACATACCATGTGACACACAAAATTGATATTTAGGTGTGTTCTTTTAATATTTACTTTTAAATTAAGAAATTAAATAATGTATAATACTAAAACTTGAATTATAGTCTACTATTTCATATCAAACTTATTGACATAAATTCATAAAATAGTAGTTCAATAAAATTTTGAATGTAAGTCAACAAACATGATAACATGGCCTTTGACCTTTCACAATAGGGTTAATAAACATCTTCAGTGGTATTAAACTAAACCACAAAATGCAAACTGAGAACTAGGTGCATGGCATTTACCCCCATTTCCATCACTGCCTACGTGATTAGAATATTAAAAAGGTTTAAAACTACTTAACAGAAGAAATATTAAAGCGTTGGTCTTCATATTGAGCCTTAGTAACATATACTAAGAAAGCTGTATAATTAGGGTTACTTTTTGTTGTCAGAAATGTTTGGGGGTTGTTAATAAAACAGTAGAATCAGGGAACTCTCTTTATAAAAAGTTGTTACAGCTTGAATCTTCTGTGTATAGATGTACTCCTCCCAAGGTTCATTTGATAGATTGTTGGACAAGAAGATAAAGCATATTTATTATGTTCTAGTAGTTCCTGGATGAGTTAATTTACTACTAACTAAACAATAGGAGATGCTGTAATACACATGATTATTTTAGATGACCAGATTAGCAAAAGGATAAAATAAGGAATTTTGTGCAAATGGTATGAACACGGTACCTGTTAATTAATTATAAAATAAGTAATTAAATGCATACAGTGGTCATAAATTTAAACAAAAACTATAATTTATTATGCATAAATTATGGAAATTACTGTGCTTCTAGGAATACACCATTAGAAACTTGAAACCTTTCACCCAGTATCTTATTTCCCTGCAAGTTTTTAACCCGGAAGGTCGTGGCCCTCCTGTGAGTGTGGCAGTCATGACTGAGGAAGGAGGTGAGTATTCAAATAATACTGCAAATTCTAGAATGTTTGAGATACTTAGAGGTTTCTTTTAAAAGTTATTTTTTTAGTTATGTATTTAAAATACATTTTGTGTGCACCAAAAAAATATATACTATTTCTGTTACAGAATTGTAATCTTTGTTTACTCTTATTCTCTAAGTATATTTCAAGTCTTTCCTTAGTTATACTTCACTAGAATAAATATTTTTTTATAAATACTACAAAACTTTCTGTAAACACTTCTGCATATTTTCTTGTTTGAAGCTATGGTAATTTTACTAATAATAATAATACATTGTAGAGCCAAGCAGTCCACAGAACTTTACTATTTTCCGGATTACTAACACAACTGTGCGGCTACACTGGGCTGAACCTGAATCTCCCAATGGCATAGTAAAGGGATATAATGTGCACTATATGCACTGGCAACCGCTTCAAAACAAAACAAGGAAGGAAAAAGTATACAATCCAACACCAGAAATGAATTATGTTCTAACTAATCTTCGTAAGTAATACTTTTTTTATTTATATTTTTCAAAGAATTTTATTAATGTTAATTGTGGCAACCAAAAATTCAAATGAGTGTGCATGTCATTTACAAATATGTTTTTTATTAAGTTTGTATGGTTGATTTGAACTCCAGTATATGTTTTCTATTAAGTTGGTATGGCTGACCTTAAACTACAGTATATGTTTTCTATAAAGTTGGTCAGCTTTCTGGATAATCTGCTAATTACATTTATTGACAAATTATTATGTATGTTAATAAACAAATTTAACAATATATAAGAGAGTTAAAGAATTAAACAATTATATGTGTTGCAAACAAAAAGTGAGCATACTTTACAAAGATTTTGGTTGTATTCTAAACCTAACTGTAGGACTAATATAAATCTTCCACACAAAAAAAGTCATAAGATGAAACGATTATCTGAAAATACCTAGGAATTTTGAAATGTTATAGCAAAAAAATAGCCTTGAATTAAATATTGTTGTAGCAATTTTCTAAAAACAACAACAAAGGTTTGATACAACTCTAGCACAACACAATGTTGGTTAAATGGTTTGAATATATATTCAGACCAATTTGAAAAATGTTTACAATTATTTCATTTGTTTGTAAGGTTTCCAGGAAGTGTGATCAGTAAACAAAAAAAAAAAGTTTTGGAATTAATGTGAATTGTATTCTTATATCAAGAACAGTATTGATATAAATGATATTCTTAAAACATAGCACCTAATTGGACTAAACTAGCCAATATGCTTTTCAAATTTATCAATCAAAATGTGGATTTAAATATTAGCTGTTGTATGACTAATTTGAATATTTTATATATTTTTCATAACATTCTTTTATTATGTGTATTGTTTATGGTATATTTAATGTTTTTGGCAGAGCCTTACACAAAATACACTATTTGGGTGGCAGCTTTTACTGAGAAACATCAGGGGGAATCTAGTAACAAAATCGAAATGTGGACTGATGTACAAGGTACTGAAATATCAGCCTTTTTGTCTAAGTCATGTGCTGTTTGTTATTTTGTATTGAAAAAGAAAAAGGCAATACTTGAAAATAAATGTCATGCAATTCAAAATATACATGTCATCTAGTTTCATTTAAGATTTACTAATAACATACATCCTGTTGGTAAAGTATCTTAAAACATCAAAGTGAAGGTTAAGAAAAATGTGAAATTGTCATTTTTTCTTCTATTTTTGTATTTCTAATTAACATCACACTTGAGGGGCAACAAGGGGGCCCATGGGGGGCTGTCCTTTTATTTTATCAAATCCCAATCTGCCTGTATCCATCCTTGATTTTTAATATTTGTTAAGCCCTCTCTTGAATTCTCCCAATCTGCAGACTGTCTACCGTGTTTGAAAAATAAGATTGCCTAATTTGCCAATGATATCTACCCTATCATATCCTAAGTCCATGTGTCCTCTTCAGTCCATTTTCTCTACACTGCCAAAAGAAGAAAAAGTTACTCCAATTTCTGATAAATTGTTTGAAAAATAGAATCATCCCTAAGACCTTACAACTGAAGCTACATGCAAAAGATCAAGAACTATCATTGGTAATCTGGAAAAATTTGTTTCAGCAGATGGGAAAGACAAGATCTGAAACTAATGAAGCACAAACTAACATTGGATGAAAAGGTTGCGTGAAAATGTCAAAACTTGTATTCATATAAATTTGGTGTTGTGTATTTAAGCTTTATTTTAGATTATACACTACTGTTTAGTTTACCTACTATTATGATGCATCAGTCCTATCTATTCCCTTTATGATTTTGGTCAGATCCTCTCTAACCTTTATTTTCTCAAGAGAAAATCATTTTAAGAACCTTATTAATTTTTCCTCATATGACAGTCCCCCTTCCCAGGAGTTATTGTACTAGCCTTCCTTTGAACCCCTTTCAAACAATTCAATGTCCTACTTAAAGTAAGGAGCCCAAGACTGAACTTGATAGTCTAAATGAGGTATAACCAGAGGTCTGTACAAAGAAACATTAACCTCCTTTGTTTTATCTTAAACATTCCTGTAGATACAACCCAAAATCCTATTTGCTTTCCACTCTAGCAATATACTACTTGGAAGGCTAAAGAGACTTATCGACCAAAACTTCAAGATCCTTTGCTTTCACAACACTGTTGAGTTGATTTGAGTTGAATTATATCAATGTTATAATTATAGTTTAAATTTAGATAGCCCAATTGCATTACCTTGCTCTAAAATAATTAAATGTTAGTTATTTGCCCAATTCATCAAGTGATCCAAATCCCTCTGTAAACAACAGCACACTCACCACAGCTAACTACATTCAAAACATTAATATCATCAGCAAAATTGACCTAATTGTTAACCATATCCCTATTAATATCATTAATGTGTATCAATTTAAGGAGTTTTAATTATTCAGGTATGGAAACAAAATAATATTGTTTTGGTGACAAAAATGTTCAGAATGTTGCTAACGTTAGACAAAAATATTCAGAATGTTGTTAATGTTAATAGAAGTACCACTTACGATGCCACACCAGTGTTATAGTTATCTATTTTTGTTATTTGTAGGACCAAGTGCTCCAAACATCATGAACCTCACTTGTCACTCTTTAGATACAATTTATGTGCAGTGGGAACAACCAGAAGTTTTCCATAAGTCCATTGATCATTATTTTGTTTATTATCGTTCTGAAAATTCATGGGATTTCAAGAAAATTGATGTTAATGCAACAGAACAAGAGGTGAATAAAGAAAGCTTTTTTTTTTTATTCTCGGTAAACTCATAAATTATTGCTATTTAATGGTTAAAAACAAAACATACTTGGATATATTTACACATTTCTTTGCTTAAACATTGTCATAATTTTTTTCTTGATACTGAAAGGAAAGTTAGTATCTTAATTTTTAATGTTTTGTTATGAAAGTTTGAAATTATGAATGTTTCTGAACATGTTGTTTTTATATATTATTAATGAAGCGAACTTGATGCATATGAAAAGTAACTGAGCTAAGTATAAAATCAAACTTTCCGATTTTATATATATGTTGTTTATATACTATTAATGAAGCTAGCTTGATGCATATGAAAAGTAACTCAGCTAAGTATAAAATCAAACTTTCCAATTTTATTATCAAGTTTAATAATTAATACCCATTAATACCATGAAAGTGGCAATAAGAAAGTTCTCTGATAAGTAAACATTTCATTGATATGATAATTAGAATTATATTCATTTACTGTTTAGCTTATATCTTGATATAAACATGACTTGATATATCATATTTTTCTACTTAGAAGTCATAAAAAAAACTGATCTAATCCACATGCGATGTTATGCTATACTTCTTTACAATTTTTTTTACTTAATGAATTAAACGTTTTTTTGCTTTCAAGCTTTAAAAACTAATGGTTGGAGAATAAAAAATAATGTTCAGCCTCTTTTTATGTCTATTATTGTGTCAAAATGAAAAGAACGAAATGCATATTATTTTATTTTTATCCAACTATGATGCACATGCATTATCAAATTATATCACTTCAAGAAAAGTTTATCAAGGTTTCAAGGAAAGTTCTATTCTGGTCATTTTATCAATTAAAGTTCTGCTGACATTGTGTATGAATTTGTGATTTAAATTTGTCATTATTATTTTATCAAGTAAAGTTCTGCATACATTGTGTATAAAGTTTCATTTAAATTTGTCTTGATTATTTTATCAAGTAAAGTTCTGCAGACATTGTGTATAAAGTTTCATTTAAATTTGTCCTGATTATTTTATCAATTAAAGTTCTGCAGACATTGTGTATAAAGTTTCATTTAAATTTGTCCTGATTATTTTATCAAGTAAAGTTCTGCAGACATTGTGTATAAAGTTTCATTTACTATTCTCTCCTCATCATTTTATCTATAGTACATAAAGGATACTCAATATCTGTAAAAATAACTTCTTTCCAAGACAGTTTCAGAATGTTGTGTTGTTAAATTAAAGAAACAAAGTAGTAAAGCCTAAAATGTTTTTAGATAATTTTTTATTAAGATCCAAGACTTGGTGAGGGTACTTAATGTTTTTTTTTCTTGTTTTCCAATTTTATTTTATAATTTTTTTTAATGTATATTTTTCCTTTCAGTCTTTCTAAGTATTCATATTCAATTTAGAAAAATTGTTTCTAAATTTCACATATTGGTATTTGTAGTTGTTTCAATGTTGTTTGAAATTTCTAGAGCTGCATGATTAGTTGAATTTACTAATTGATTAATCATTGAGCTCATTAATTGATTATGCTTAATTAGTTAATTATTCTCACATGGGATGGGTAAAAGAGAACTTACAGTGCTAAAAATTGGAATTTGATACCACCAGTTTGCAGAACACAGATAGCCCATTATAAAGTTTTGTGCTTTACAATAAGCAAAGATAATGGCAATATTTCAATTACTTGGATAGTTGGAATAATCAAATATAGTAATAATAGGAAACCATAATTATAAATAATAGTTTTTTTTTAGTTTTGTGAGTTGTGACACTTATCATTTAAGCCGAACAAATTTGAATTAATCGAAAATAATATTTAAAAATCATAACGAAAATATTTTAATTACTGGATAGTTTGAATAATTGAAACAATTTTGCTTAGTTGATTATTTTCATGATATTAATCTGTTTATTTGTAATTTTGGTTACTGGATAATGGTAATAATCAAAAACAGTAATAATAAGAAACAGTAGTTGGTTATTTTAATGATATTAATCAACTTAATTGTAACTGCAATTTATCAATTATTTTACAAGACTAAACAATATTCATAGGTAATCGATTATATCAATTAAATGAGTTAATTGACCAGCTCTAATCATTACCAAGGAAGTCTGAAACTTTGTGTTTTTTGTTTGTTTTATATCAACACTATAGTATGCCAGTGTATTGACTTGTTGATATTTTCACATTATGGTTCATCAACCATATTCAGATTTTTTATTGAAATCATGGGATGATGTTGACTATGTGGTATGTTATAAACCCTGAATCAGCGGAAGTTTTCTGTGTGATCAGTTTGTAAAATGATGCAAGATAGAATTATAAACATTTTAAATGTTGACTATTGATAGTTGTAGTGATGATGTATTTTTTTAGATCTTAAATAAGAAAATCACAGTATGTTACTCATTGAGTAGTTTTTGACACATCATTTCTGAAGAACTTGTTTAACTGATTTTCAACTTTAGCAAGTACTAGGATAGAATCTTCTCATGTATAGTATGTGGAGTATTTACCTTACACACTTTCAGTTTTATTTCTTCTTTTTTTTTGTATAGAAGTTTATTTCTAACCTAACAACAAACACCATGTATGAGGTAAAAGTCTGTGGGGTAACCCACAGCATCATGGAACACCAGAAACTATACAAAGGTCAATTTTCTGAGTCTCGCAAGATTCTTCTTCAGAGTAAATGTCAAAGTAAGTTAAAATATTGGTACAAGAAATGAGCTAATCCTTTTTTCATTTTTACTTTTATATTGTTTGAATATACTTACTTAAATTGCATAGGAAAATAGTTGATTTTTCTGCCTTAATGTTCTTCATGCATAAGGACATCTCAGAAAACAAGCTTCTTCATGAGTATACTGCCCTGCCTTTTTACTGCTTTTGTTTTCTGATGCACTAATTGCAAGCACTAACTTTTATATTCTTATATATAATTGAGCAAATGAGAGAAACAGTAGTGAAGAGCTCACTCTTCTTCTTAGATGTCACAGAGATTCTGAACTGTCTTGATGCAATATTTATTGCCTTTCCCATACTGTTTGTTATATATAACAGATTTTATGTCTTGTCAAGTACACTAGAGCATTATATATATATATAATTTCAAACAAACCAAAAACATGTAGTATCTTACATATAGGGCAGAAAATGAAACTAGGGTACAAAATTAGAGTGTAAGTGATAAAATGCATCCTAGTAGGACAGGTATCTGAAGAAGTAGGACTCCCACATAAATACATGAAATAGTCATATATTTGTATGAACACCTGAAATGACACACACACACACATTTATATACTTCTAAATGTGTAAAGAAAAATTGAAGTTACTCTCATAATTCTAATAATGTAATATAGAGGTTAAACTATTGTCTGTGGGTCCAACATTAGCAGAAACCTCCTTTACTAGGATATATTTTTTCATTCCCTCTATTCCTGGTTTTATTGTATGTCTTAAATCTTTAATGCTGTTTGTTTTTGAAATTCAAAAATTACCAAAGTTTGGGAGATGCTGCAGTATTGTGTTATATGCTTCCTAATATGACGTAACTTTCTGCACATTATTTAAAAAAAGTAAATTTGTGTGTATGTAATAATGAATTATGGTATTTTAAGGAGTATGTCGAAGGTACTAACTGAAGATACAAACCACGGGATAATCTTTTTTCAGGTAATTTCAACAGTCCACTGACAGAGTCCAGTGTTAATGCTGGACTAATAGCTGGAATAGTTTGTGCATCATTTGCTTTTCTATTGGCTATCATATTCTTTATCTTGTGGAGGTAGGTAGTCCTAATGAGTACATAATTGTTATTTTTTAGGATTTTCTGGTATTAATTTTCTGAGCTATTGAAATTTTGTGGTCATTTATATTGCAACACATAATATAATTTGTTATATAAGTTAGCATTTTAACCATCACTTTCATCTGATATCCTTTTTCCCAGTATTAGTGAAGATATTTCTGTGTTATGACCACAGAAAACTTGTCATTACTTTCTCAGCAAAAAGTTGGAATTCCTGCATATTTTATTGCCACCAAGAATCTTTATCAACTCTTGTATGTTTTAATGCCACCAAAGATCTTTGTTAAATTAAGTACAAACATTAAAATTCCAACATGCTTTACTGCTACCAAGAAGCTACCAGTAAAGAAAACTTTGTTATTTAGAAAGAAAAGAGAGAGAGGTAAATGGATATAGACAGACAATTATCAACATTTAATTTGTAAGCTATTGCTATATATTTTGTAAGGCCTCACTGTGGATTTAATGGAGAAATTCAACCATTTTTTTTGTTAACAGTTTAAAATATATTGGCTCTGAAGTTTTTATAGCACTCTATTTCAAAAACAAAAAGTTTTAAAATAACAGAAAATTAAAATACATTGAAAATATTCTCTTTCATCAGTTTTGTTAACATATTTGTTTTTTTAAAGAAACAAAATAATTATGAAGTGTAGTAATTTTACACTTGTCTTTCATTCTTTCTGTGCTAAAATTTGTAAAGAAAATTTAAAATCATAATACTGTTTACTGAAAACCAAATTAACCTTTTTATAGTTAAATATCATCTCATGGGGCACATATCCCCATTCCAATCTCCAAACAGTACTCCAATTTTAGTATTATATCTGTTAATAACAAAATATTAATTAACAGAAGATTTGACTATTACTTTAAATTATTAGGCTCTTTCTATTCCCATCATTCTGTTTATACTTGGACAGTTATTTAATTACAGTTTTATAAATTAGGTTTTGTTTGTTTGTTATATTAGACTTTAATGACAATGAGTTTTCTAGATATCTACTGAAAGAAACTTTAATTTCTGCCCCAAAACAAAATCATACTTCTAACCAAAATTTGCTTGTAGGAGAGTATCTGAAATATGGACAAAGACTAATGAATGGGCCTTGACATTATGAAAAATGCTCTAAATGTTGCACTAGTGCCTTGATTATCTGCAGTTTTTTCTTTTCCCCCAAATTTTCTCAAAATAATTGTGCCATTATGATTCTAGACAATAACTGACATGTTTTGGAGAAATTGTCACTCAGAAATTAATTTTGGTTACAAGAGTTAAAGTGTTGCATGATATCCAGTGTTTTCAAGTGCAGGATCTGGCATGCGTTCAAATCATAAGTCAACTGATCCAAGCCTAGCCTTCACTCTTTTATTTTTAGCTGTTAAGACAAGAATACAAAATACTTGTAGCTTGGTTAACTTTATTTGATTAGTCTGTTTTAACAACAGCTTTTTCATAATAATTCCCAAGACTTGCACTAATTTTTGACTAATTTTTCACAGGCATTGATAGAGTGCAAATTCACTTTCATGTCTGTAGCAGAAAAAGTACCAAAATTTAGAAGCTATTTATGCCTATGTTAGTGATTAAATTCAACTAAAATGGGAATGGGCAATCAAAAGAGGAAGAAAAAGTGGAATTAGACACATAACTCACAAAATTCAGAAAAATTGAGCGTGACTGACTGATACTTGATTTAAACTTAAAACAAGGAACTTAATTATATTGAAAACAATAGGCTAACTAGTGAGATATACTAGGGCCTCAATTATCTTCCGTTTCCATTATCCAAGATTTTTGCTTTCCCCAGACCAGTGCAGATAATCAAGGTACCACTTTTAATCATTTTAATAGCTCTAGTATGTACCCTTTGATAGAAAGAAAATTCTCCATATACAGCTTTTATTTGCTTACAATTTAGTTCATAACTTGCTAATCATTCTTTTATGAGTCATCAAATCGAAGGTTATAAAAACATAGAGATAAATAACATATAAAGAAACTAAAACATGCTACAGTTATGAACAAATCTGATAAGGCAAGAATTCCATCTTTTAAAATTTAGCTGAGTTTTTGTTATTATTACTATTATTAAATATTACCTCTCAACATGCATTTCCAAGTTATACTAGATGTAACTGCTTTGAAAATATTTCTAATCACAGAACTCTATCGAATCATATAAATGATTCTTTTTGAATTCTTTATAAAATAGTAACAAGATTTGTGATTTTAGACATGGCATAGCTTGGTGATTAGGGCTCTCAACTTGCAATCTCCTAGGGATCAAACCCTGTCACTGAACATGTTTGCCCTTTCTGCTGAGGGAGCTTTATAATGTGAGGCTCAGTCTCACTATTTGTTGCTAAAACAGTAGTCTAAGAGTTGGCAGTGGGTTATATTGAGTAGCTGCCTTCCATCTCGTCTGCTATTTCAAACTAAAGATCGTAGCTTTGTGCAAAATTCAGCAAATAAACAAATTTTGTGATTTTTCCAATTCTTCCACAGAATTCTCCACTTCCATGATGCCTCATCTCACAGGTTATTAAGGTTTATCAACAGAAATTATCAATTGAAAATAGAGACCTAGTAATAAATTACTCAAAAAATATCATGGTAATGAAAGCACCCTAACATTTAACATGAGATGGAGAAAAAAAAAGTAGATGAGTAGATTAAAGTGAATGAACACTTCTTTTTTTAAGTGTAAACAAGTATAGAAAAGTTGGTGTAGTTGTTAGCAAAGTTAATTACTTGGAATATATTGAAACTTCCTTTTTTAAATGTAAACAGGCATAGAAAAGTTAATGTAGTTGTTAGTAAAGTTAACCGCTTTTAATATATATAAAGGTTACTTATTTATACTTTGATCTATCAGGAAATACTTTCAAGCAGATTACTATTATCTTGATGACCCACCTGGAAACAGAGCTTCCCCTCAACTTTCAGAAACATTTGGTAAGTCATAAAACAAATTGTCAGGAACATTTCTTCACTTGAGCTGTAGATTTATGTATGATTTTATTATATATCATTAGTACTTGGTCTGTTATGATAACATTAACAGGGTAAAAGCTTTCAGTACTTTATAATTTACTTAAAATATAAATTTCTGAGTCAGCTTGCCCTAAATTAATGCTACCTGGGCTGGCAGGTTATCGTAAAAACTAACAAACCATTTTACAAATTTTTGAGAATGATCTAACATTGATGGAATATAGGAAATTAATTTTAATTTGGTTAATCACAAGATTCACTAAGTAACAGATGTATGCTAGTAGGCTGAAACAATCACTAGTATGATTGTGTACAATAAAAAAAACTTCTTCAAAATTTCTCTGTATTTTAGTGAGTTCAGCTTTAGCCAAAATGTCTCTATATCTTAGTGAGTTCAGCTTTAGCCAAAATGTCTCCATATCTTAGTGAGTTCAGCTTTAGCCAAAATGTCTCCATATCTTAGTGAATTTAGCTTTAGCCAAAATGTCTTCATACCTTTAGTGAGTTCAATTTTAGCCAAAATGCTTCCATATCTAAGTAAGTTCAGCTTGTAGTTTATATACAACTATTTTGTAAAGAATTATCTTGTAAACATTAAACATAACTCCATGTCAGTAAGCCACTGATGCACGTTATCATGGTTCCTTTATATTAGTAAAGATGTTAGTTTCTTTTTTACCTAATAAAATTACTGTTATCTGTAATTTTGCTAACAGAAAGGTTTGTAATTTTTTGTCATTTAAAGTTTCATGTTCAAAACATGCAAAACTATTTAGCTTTAGATTAAAACTTTTTTTTCAAAGGGTTGAGGTAATTTTTATCATAAGTTGAAAACTAATTTCTTTTGAAACATAACTAAGTTCTTGTTTATAAAATTATGTCTGGTGTTGTTCATTTATCCTTTACAAAAATTGTTTGTTCTATTGAGTTATTTTTTTTTTTCTTTTTTTAAAGAGGATCCTGAGTATGCATCCATCCCTGTTCACCAGTTTGCGGATCACGTTGCCAAGCTTCATGCCGATGGAGATCATGGTTTTTCTAGAGAATACCAGGTGACTATTGTAAACAATATCTTGTTCTAGAAACTATTATCATGGTTCTTCTATTCAAAATATTTTACTAAAGGACATTGGGTATTGGAGATTATAGAAATATTTTTACTCAGTAAATTGTAATATCCCTGGAACTAAGAAAATTATAATAAAATAAATTATTTGTTTTTATATATTAACTATGTAAAAGTGTGACTAAAATTATGTTATGTTATCATTTTTCTAATACAGTACATTACCTCCACTGGCATATATAGCTATTCTCATTCAGTGCTGCCCTCTATATGCAAAAAATGTTTCGTATGCTACAAGTGTTCACTCCTATGTACCCCACGATTATCGTAGTTCATCTGTGTCTTGCACGTAACTCATCATGCAACAACCCTCTACCAATAGGAGTGCAACACACCCTCCTAAGGCAAGTGACTCACTACCGAATTATCACTTCCTGTTAGGCAGTGCTCTAGTGTAGACGTTTTTTGAATGTGCTCTCTTCACACATTTTTTAATGTTTAATATGACATGGAAATATTGTTTACTACAGTTTATTTTTGTAGTTTGACATGATAACTTTATTGTTCTTTTTTCTTTTCTCCAATTCTTCATCATTACATGAGGAATTCCAAAGTTCATGATACCACTTCAGAGATTCTACCACCTACTTCCGGCACAATTACACAGGCTTCAGGCCAGGGAAAATCTACTGAGGAATTTTCGGCTTTCGTTTATCAGGAGATTGATCATTATGTGAGTCGACCTTTTTCTCCGGGTATTGCTAAACTTCCTCCTGAATCTTCCGAACCTGTTTGTGATGAGGATTTTGACTGCCTTTTTCCTTCATGATTCTGCATGCCTTTCCAAGCTTTTCCTGCAGAATCTTCTAGGCCTAACTATGCCTTTTTACACATGATTTCTCAGGTGTGTTCCATTTTATCCATTTCCCTGATTTCTTATAATTCTGTTCCTTCCTTATTACATGACACCCCTTCCTCACAGTATTTTGTTTTCCCTCCTTCTTATGACATCAGGGTTCATGCTAAGCATTTTGTTTCTCAGTTGCAAGTGAGTGATAGTATGCCTCACCCTCCATGGGCCTTGGATTATTTTGCCTCTGATTACCCTTTATTGTTTCTCAGCAGTTAGAATCACATTTGCTGACATGAGGCTGACCCTGACAATGATATCCATTTATCACATGGCCAGTTTTCCCTCCTTTGTCTTGCACTTGGTGCGATTATCCTCTTCGGTGCTCTCCCTTGACACGTAGTTTCTTTGCTGTTGGGATCTTCTGGGGAGGGACACTGTCTTGTCCCAGGTTTATTATCTTTGGGATTTGCAAATGGTTCCTTTTCTCTATTGGTCCATTTTTGGGGATATTCCTGAGAATTTGGAATTGTGTGTGGAAACTGTGAGGCAACATTTGGCCCTTTAATCATTGGTTGCTTGTTTGTCTCATTCTGAGCCCTTGCAATCTCCTGTTATTGTTCCACATCCTGCATTCTCCTGCTCTTTTCCTACCACTAAGGGTTCCACCATTTGTCATGTTTCTTGATGTAGGTTTCATTGGCACTAACAGTATCAGTGTTTATTTTGTGGGATCCAGTCCAGTAGGGGCTTGTTTGGCCAATTTTGTTACCCTATGGTGGGAATTTGCTGCTGATCCTTAGGATATCCTGGTTTTGCCCACAGGACTTTTAGTCCAATTCCTTTCCTTTCCCCTGTTGTTTCCAGTACCCATAGCCTTTTCCTTTACCTTAGGATCATACTACCAGTTGATATCTGTCTGAGGTAGTATGGTGTCTTCTGTCACAGAGAGCTATTGAGCCTGTTAGCCATCATTCCCCAGTTTTTACTCCAGGTTGTTTGTGGTACCCAAGAAAACTGAGGTTTGGGGTCCTGTGACCAATCTGTCCTGCCTCAACCAGTTTTTGGATCTTCCCATTTTACCATGGAGTCCTTTCTCACACTTAGGTGGGGTGAGCTTTTTCTCCAAAACTATGAATAACCAAGGTAGAGGTCTTGAATAATTATCTCCATATTCCTATTTCTCATTAGTAAAGATGCTATCTTTGGTTTGTCCACCAAGGGGTTGTGTATCAGTTTCGAGCCTTGCCCTTCAGGCTTGCTTTGACTCCATATGTCCTTTGTTGGATGGTCAAAGCATTTGCTTAACTTATGCATGTTCGGGGGTTGTTCTTACAACACTACATAGATGACTGACTTCTGTTTGCTCATTCTGAACTGGAGTCATTTACAACACACTCATAAGTTGGAAATGGAGCAATCCGGCATGAAGATGGAAGAGTGGGATGAATTACTGGTGATCAAGACAACAATGAATGGATGGAGTGAAAGGAAGAGGCAAGGGAGAGACAGTTTGGAGCCAAAGTAGATGAGGAAACCATGGTTGTGTCAACCAATAGGGATCAATCAGATGGACCTGACACGGAATGGCATGGATGATTGAAATCGCCCAGGGAAAAGTCAGAGGAGAGGATAAACATAAAGGTACAGTTTGGTCCAATCCTGGCTAAGAACATCGACAGCTAGGGCATGTGGATGACGAACTGGAGACTAAAAAAAGGAGTAACTTGGTATTGAGGAAAGTGGCAAATGCATCCAGCTGAGGAGTACCCCACTGGGAGCATAGCCAATGGAAAACCAGATGATCTAGAGACTACTCTGTGGGATAAATTTGTCTGGTCTGGAAAGGCAATCTGCCATGAGGTTGAAAGCACCCAGAATATGACATTCAAGGAGACGTATCCCAAGCATGTGGGCACCCAAAAAAGGAAATCCAAGGTTCAACCTCAAAAGGAAAGAGAATGGGTGCCCCCTTGATGATTGATATAAGTCACCACTGTAGAATTGCTGGAATGGATCATGACAAGTCAATTGCTTACAAGAGTAAGAAAGTGATCCAAATCATGTTGTACTTCCAGGAGCTACAAGATGTAGAGATGGTAAGACCTCTCGATCATAGACCATTGTCTGGAAGCCTCCTGTTGATCAACCCTTGACCCCCAACCATGGAAAGCAGAATCTGTGCAGAAATGCAAATCCAGACAAGGTGGAGGAAGCAATACACCCAACAATGTCTTTTCCAACACCAATGCAGGTCATTAATGGGGGAAGGGTAATGGGAGAATCCAAAGGATCCCGAGCAAGATTCCACAGGTCGTGCAGAGTCACCTGAGGAGATCACAAATGTGCCCGACCCAAGGGAATAAATGTTTGCATAGAAGCCCATGTCCCTAAATGTGATAGAACCTAGAACTTTGTGAGCAGGAAGAAAGGGAGTAGCAAGGGCATGGAGAACAGAGAGCTCCATCGAATGGAGTAGAAGAGGAGAAGATTGGGTCCAGCTGAGGTGGGTGTTGAAAAAAAAACATACCCAAGTGGATGAGATATTGTGTAGGGAAGAGGAAAAACTTCTCCAACTAGATAAACCAACCTACTCATGCTGCTTCTACTCTGTGCCCAGTGTGGAAAGAGTTGTCGCAAACATGGGTGGAAAAAGGGAGGCTAACAACCAAAAGGGAGAGAACAATGGTTGGAGAGGAATCTAAACCACAGTATATCATAATCTCATTCCCATAAAAGAAAGACTGTAGAAGGAACATCTAGAGACAGTAATGTGGAGGAAAGCTAAAATGGAGGTGCTCCAAGGTGTAGAGTGACTAGAGTGCAACAGACTGTATGTGGCAAGTCAATTCCAGTCCAAAACCAATTAGTAATGGGAATATAGCCTCCAATCCATGGTAGGAGGAGTGTCCACACAGTCTCCACCTCAAGTTCAATAGAATGGAATTATATACCATACATCTAGGAAATTTATATCCAAATGATGGCAGTAAGAGATATGCCCATGTGGCAGATCCCATCAAACTCAAACTCAATCAAACTGACACCCCACTGCACATCATCCTTGGGCCACGAAACTCCTTGAAGTAGAGCACAAGAGGGAAAACCACTGCCTCATGCAACATTATCCTCATAATGCAACACCATCCTCCTAGTCCCACCACACGGAAGTGGGTGGCCTTCGATGAAAAATATAACCACCTCCCCCTTCAGATGGAACCATACAGAGGCAACATGTGAGGACTTAAGTTGATTGGTTCTGCTCTAAATCAAAAACCAGTCACCAGGAACCAACATCCATGTGATAATAGGATGAAGAATCCCAATAAAAGAGGTGAACTTCAATGTGACAGCTCAACTCCAATGCAATATTATCCTGTGAATAAGACCGCAGAGAAGATGGGTGCAAAATCAACCCTCGGAGCCCACTGTACCGAGTTGGAGCACACGACTGGAGGACCACACACCATCTACACCAGCAGAACATCACTGCCCTACTCTCTACTGAATGGATTTTGTAGTTTTTATTTATTAATGTGTGATCACATTCAGAAGGAAACCTCCATGATCCCCTACCCTAGCAGCTAGGAATTGGAAAGTAGCAAGGACTTTCATACTCCACTAGAAGAACATGGGAGAATAAAACATGGTGGAGAATCTGGAGAAACCCTAACATCAGAAAAGCAGACCATCCCTGATTTATTAAATCAAAGGGACAGCAGGGATGGGCAACTATCCTCTTCTGCTTTAGCCATGTAAGTCCATGGGTTAGTCATGGACTTACATTTCAGTCTGAAACAGGCATGTTAATGAAGCAAATATATAACAAGGAAAAAAACCTACTAGCGATCTTGTGGAACACCCCATCTCAACGGTATGCATTACTAGCCATGAGTATATTGTATTTTATTATTTCATCATGGCCGTACAGTGTAGATTTGAAATATATTAGGTATTCCTGGGGAGGCAACCCTCACCACAGAGTGGGATCCTTAATGAATAAAAGATACGTGCCAATGAAAGAAATTAAAATGCATATAAAAAAGATAACTTACCAAGTCACAGCCACACCAAAGTGTAAAGGATGGCAACAGGTGGAAAACGGTATCCCAACGAGGAATAAACAGCTTCCTGATGAAAACAGTGAGAGATGAACGTATGAGGTGTAGTCCATATGCTCAATGGATGACAGAGATGAGACACCATGGAAAAGATAAGGTGCTCATCTGATGCGACAACACCTGGAACAGATTTCGGGAAGAAGGAGACAAGGATGAAGAAGCCAATCAAATCAAAAGCCAAATCCAATTGGTAAGAGTGGAGGGAGAAAAGTCAAAAACAGAGGAATGTTGCCAGGGAATGAAGTTAATTCTGGTTCAACTGCGTCTCGCATGTAAATCATCATGCGACGACAACCCTCCACCAATAGGAGTGTGACACACCATCCCGAGGCATGTGACTCCTATTCGATTCTACCGAACTATCATTTCGAGTTTAAACAGAAAACGAAGCACCAGTTATCAGTGAAAAGATGTGTGGGAGGAGGTAAGTACCTATCAGAAATACATTTTTCAGTATATGAAAATTATAACTTCTGATACTGTACACTACCCACGCTCACATGTATAGCTAGAATCCCACATTGAATACATAGAGGGACCAGTGCAAGGGATAGAAATAAGCATCCTCCAAAAACATCCGAAGAATACCCCAGAATTGTGATCCTGTAGTAGAAGATAATATGTGGGAGACCATACCACTTCTGTACTAGGTATGGTAGGGTACATGGGAGTGCAAGGCTTGTGGGATGTGAAAAAGTTTTTGCATATAGTTGGCAGCACTGAACAAAAACAGCCATATATATGTGGGCTGTTGTAAGTAGCTATCGGAAATACATCTTCAGTATAGGAAAACTATAATTCTACACTTTCTGGGAATTTATTTAATTAAATGTTGGTATTTTTAGGTTTTTTCCCATTGAATGTGATGTTTTTTTTTATTTGTTTTCTCTTCAGGCTATCCAACAAGCTACTGACCTTGACTTGTCCTTCCAGCATTCTCAGTTAACTGAAAACAAGAACAAAAACAGATATGTTAATATTGTTGCTTATGATCACAGCCGAGTGATGTTGAAAGCTTTGCCTGGACAGAAGCGACTTTCAGACTACATAAATGCCAACTATATAGATGTGAGTTTTAAGTTTCTAACTATATAGTAAAATTGCTTTTAATGATATAACAGCTGTTATGGAAAAAATTTATTTTGTCTAGCTTTCATGTAGTAAACATGGATATCAGACTTTGTGACTTTGAATGTAATGATAATAGTTCATCATTTACAAATGTGATTTTCACTGTGTTAAAAATTTAAAGCTAATGATATTAGGCTAAGTGTTCTGACATCTAGATTTTTTTTATAACTCATTGGATGGTTGACTAGGGATACGGAAAAGCTCGAGCCTACATTGGAACACAAGGGCCGCTGCCATCAACATTTGATGACTATTGGCGTATGATCTGGGAACAGCGGGTATACATTATTGTCATGATCACCAATCTTGTGGAACGTGGACGAGTAGTTTTGTGTTACCTATCTTTAAAATAGAAATATATCGGAGTCAGTTGTTTTTTTTTAGACTGATGTGGTATAATAAAAGTATCAATTATTATTAGCCAGAAAGTTATATTTACTTTTAACTCAAAGCTAATATCTTTCTTAAAAATATTAGCTTAAGTTTATGCTTCAGAAAATAATTTTGGTGCTTAAAATACTTAAATATCTTAGTATTCTGACTGACATAGTAAAAAGACCTGTAACTTTATTGTAAAGCCTCACTGATGTAGCTTATTTGTTTATTATTATTGTGCCTCTTGTGTATTTAGATATCAGGAGACACATGTAGGTAGACATGTTGTGTTTTATTGTGCTGGCTTCAAAATATTTGAAAAACTAACTTACTGATAAAAGGTCAAAATCCTTTTTGTACACATTTAGAAATTTACTATCTTCAACCCTCAAGTAGTTGAGTTGTTACCAAGAGAAAAGAATGGTTATATTGCTTTTATATATTTCTCTTTTTTCCCTTTTTTTTCTTGTTTCTAAAAACAAATATTATCCTCATGGGAACACCAGAACTATTAAAACACTACCTTATCACTGCTTTAATGTTTAGCTCACTATAATGCACTCTTGTAGGTTTCTTGCACAGCTCTTTCAGATGTTTTTTCATGTCAGAAATTTTGCTCTTATGATAAAAATTTGTTCTTTTAGTAAAATAACAGAATAACTTACTGTATTTGTTAATTAAAGATTGGGCACAATATCTTGTAATCTTTCTTGCATGCTAGCACGAACCTAGCAATTCTGAGTTGGAGGACACCGTAAGTGTAGTATTTATTCTGTGTTTGTTTTGCTATCTTGTTTGTTCATACATTTTTTATCACAACTAATTTGCATTCAGTAAGGCACAGTTAGCTCAAAATTTCATTCTTCCTCAACTCTTACACTCTTTTTTTTCCAACTACACCATTAACAATTTTTATCTGTTTCTACCTGTTCTTAAACATTGTAGTTAGAGTTTTTTTCTGTATCATAGTCATGTGTTTCCATTAAAGGTTATAATACTTATAGTTGTGCTTGCTGTATGTCTCATATTTTGATATTAAAAGTTATTTCAGCAATATGTGTATGTGTGTGCTTGTATGCTAAGCCCAATACCTTTTGTACTTGGAAATAAGGGTGAGTGTGGCTCAACTGAGAATATAATTATTTCCTTTAGAGATGGGTCTAGTTTTTAAAAAATAAACAAGTGAATTATAAATTAAAGATGATTTTGTGGATTACATTTGAGATAAAGTTACACACACAATATTGCAAAGTTAATATGGCACCACATCTAATTCAAAATAATAATACTTTACAATACACCTACATATTATAGAGTTTCATCCCCAGTAAGTGCTTGTTATAGACATTAAACCTTCATCATAAGTCACTTTCAATGTAGGTTTTTAATGTACACTTTTTAATAATGCATAAATGTTTTTAAAATGGTTAGCTTCACCCCTTTAACATCTGTGTAAGTAAATAAACCCAAATCTTAAAGAAACTTTTTTTTTAAGTAAGATCATGTACTTGTAAAATACCTTTGTCAAAGAAAACTAAGAAATTATATTTATGTGACTGTGAAATTCTTCCTTTGATTTCATTTATCATTTGAAGAATACAATATTCTTATTAAAAGCTTACTCAAGTTTTACTCAAACTGAAATATCCTGTGAACAATCCTAAGCCATACTTTTCTGAGAGCTCCTTTATTTTTTCAGAATGTTTTGGAATCTTGTCCTAAAGCCAATGATATAGTCACACTAGATTGATAGATTTTTTTTTACCTTTATATCTGGCATTCTTTTAAAATCTGGAACTTATGTATGATTGAGAACATTGTTTGAAAGGCAATATGTTCATGAAGAAATTTTCAGTTTGTAAATGAAACACTTCTATGTGATGTAAAGTATTTAGTGTTTTTATCACAAGCTATAGCTATATTGTTTCTTTTTGTATGTTTTCCCAAGCTACTAAATTATATCAAATCATTTTTCCATTTCAGTTGAGTGTCATGCAGATTCTTTTTTCTCTACAAGCTCTTTTTATTTCAAGTAGTTATTATCTTTCATGTAATAAAACTTCATGTTCTGAATTCTCAGAATATTATGCTTCTTACTATTTGATTTGTTTGTGTGCATGCATTATCTGTGTGTGTCTTAACTATTATGTTATTTCTGTGATTAACAACACTTTAAACCAAGTGTCTGTTAATGGAAATAATTTATTCTACCGAGATAGTGGAAAAGGATACTACATGTGTATAGAGAGGTATTTAAGGTCTTTATTTTAAGCTGTAAATTGGAGTTGTGTTAGAATACTACATAATTTTCTCATAGTACTTTAATTGGTTGATTATTATTGAAAGCTCTCTTTGTTATGTTTGAGATGTGACTACTAACCATTTTTCTGTTATTATTTTATAGCGAAAGTGTGATATGTATTGGCCAAAAGAAGGAACTGAAGTGTATGGTATTATCCAGGTGAAAATGATTTGTGAGGTTACTATGGCTACCTACACACTCCGTACTTTTACCATTCGAAATCTCAAGATAAAAAAAGTAAGAATTAGTTAGGATTTATGTATAATTTAAAAAGTATGGGAAATCTTAAACCAATTTATAATATGTTTTTGTTTCTTTAGGTAAAGAAGTACAACAGATACTGTTTATAGTTGATATATATTATAATAATACCTTGCTTTGTTGGATGTTAAAAACTCAAGCCTTACATCAAATTTTTATCTTCCATACCTCATGATATTAGGGAATGTATTAAACAGACTTTGAATCCAATGTAAATCAATAAATAGTGTAATGACAGTTTTTAGAAATTGTTTCGATAATTCGTTGTTGAGCACATGAATTTCTTTAACCCAATCATAATGTATTGTATCTGTCAAATATTATTTCACATTTTAAATGGCGTTTACACTGTAATTTGTAGGCTATTGTGCATTGTATGGCACATCTATAGTGATTAATTATAAATTATCTTGTGAACAACAGAAATGTATTTGAATTTTTCATAAATATATATGAACTTCTCTTTAATGTGAACATTATAGTTTTATAACTATTGTATAACTAAAATCATGTGAGAGGTGTGATATATTCTAATTTCAGTTCTATGTGCAAAGGTGGAGTTCAAATTGTACCTTTTATAGAGTACTCAGGATTATCAACTGTTTGCTTTACCCTACACTGCTGATTTGTTGACACTTCATGATGGAGGAAAGTAACTACCAAGAATACTGACAAAACTGTAGATATGCATTTCAGAAAATATAGAGGTTATGCAAATTGTACAACGGACAAAAATATTTTTATTCTTCACATGAACATCATCTTGCATTATGAGTTAGAGTCAGACTGGTGTTGTCAATTACCAGACATATCTTGAGTACCAGTACTTTTGAAACACATCTGATTTTTTATGTACAATAACAGACTTGTGCATTTTACTAAAAGCTTGCTATATTTTGTGTAGACACATGTAGTACATTTGGAATTATAGTCAACATTTCTTCTCCAATATGGATCTGTTCATTGGACCAAATTTAAACACATTCAGTTAAAGGTTGCAAGTTCATATAAACATCTGACATTAAAAGAGTAATTTAATTTTTAATTAAGACATGAGAGCAAATATTCATTCTTTTAAATGAAATTTACAAGCATTATTCTCACCCTTTATAAAGATGCCGTACTAAACTTTGTTGCCCAAAAATTACCAGTCATTGGCACTCAGATCATCAGATAACTGATTTGCATAACACTGAGCTGAAGGATGGGGGATAACTGATATTGTGTTATAGTAGTGATTTTACCTTATAATAGCCCTAACCTTACAAATATTCATTAATTGTTGTACATGTATATGCTTACATCAGTAGTAGAGTAATTTAATATATATATGCTATCTTGTTTGTTCATAATTATTTTATCTTTACTCATCTGCATTCAGTAAGGCACAGTTAGCTCAAAATTTCATCTCTCACACTTTTTTTCAACAAGAATGTTTTCTATTTTGTCCATCTCAGAAACGGTCAGCAGAAAGGACAGTGTACCAATATCATTACACCAACTGGCCTGACCATGGCGTTCCTGATCACCCACTACCTGTTCTTAGTTTTGTTCGTAAATCTTCAGCTTCTAATCCACCCAATGGAGGCTCAATAATAGTACACTGTAGGTGAGTATGTTTGAAATATAGCACTACTAAGATGCTCAGCAAGCTTGTTAGTGCATACGTTTTACTGTATTATATTTTTCTCTTTTTAAATTTGATTGTGTATTTTTAACAGAAAATTCATTTTGGTAATATTTGTGAAATTAATGTTCATTGTGATTGTTTGATCTGATAAGCTCTGGTATTGAAATAAAAAGCTTCATTAATAGTTTTTAACAATAAATTAAAGTATATTAGTTTGTTTCTTTAATACAAATCATATTGAATCAGTAGTAATGGGGTGAAATCATTAAAAAGTTTGTAGAGAGGTTTCACCATAAATTTTTTAGAGTGCATTGTTTGGTACACAAGGATTACTAAATTGTTTATAGTTTTAAAAACGTTTTTTACTACATAAAAACAAATAAGATTATTTATAAAATTAAAAAAAATATAAAATTTGTTCTAGTTTAGCAAAATGTTTGTTACATACAAAGTTTGGTGTCCCTACTACAACTTCTAGTTTTGCATAAGTAATTTCATATGTTAGGTTTTTAGTACATGTATAAGCAATGCTGACAATAGATTAGTGTTTATGAGTGTTAACAGGACAGTAGTAGGATATTAAACAGAGTCAGGTCTATAGTTTACCAATTTCCTGAAATGTAACCAGATTTTTGTTATTATTATTGTTTTTTTTATACTTATCTCAATAAACTGTTTACTAAAACAAAGTATTTAATATTATACAATTTGACTAGATACTTCAATAAACAGTGTACTAGAATAAATTATGTAATAAACTCAATCTGACTAGACACTTCTATAAACAGTTGACTAGAACGAAGTATTTAATTTTACACAATTTGACTAGGCACCTCTATAAACAGTTTACTAGAACAAATTACTTAATCTTACACAGTCTGACTAGACACCTCAATTAACAGTTTACTAGAACAAATTACTTAATCGTATGCAGTCTGACTAGACACCTCAATAAACAGTTAACTAGAACAAAATATTTTACTTTATGCAATCTGAATAGACATTTCAAAAAAACTGTTTACTTGAACAAAGTATCTAAAGTTTACACAATCTGACTAGGAATCTCAATAAACAGTTTTCTAGAACAAAATATTTAATTTTACACAATATGACTAGACACCTCAATAAACAGTTTACACAAGGTATTTAATTTTACACAATTTGACTAAATAGACACTTAATTAAACTGTTTATAAGAATAAAGTATTTAATTTTATATAATTTGACTTGACAGACACTTCAATAAACAGCTTATGAAGAACAAAGTATTTAATATATGACCTTATACCCTTTTTTGTAAGCTGTAATGTTTCTTTGACTGACAGTAGATTATATTATCTGATAGAGTAACAGTATATCCTCAGTGGTTGTGTTGACAATGTGATGATAGGTTACATATTCTTTATCAGTGCAAATGTTAAGGCTGGTTGAGCAACAGAATATTCTTTAATTAGGTTTGAACAAATATTAGTGGAACTGATGACTGAGTAACAACATATATGTACTGATTTTAATGCTGGTTTTGATGATCAATATATCTTAATTTTCAGTAGTGATTAAAGCAGGACTGAATATTTCCATTGTTTTTTAATGGTACAGTTGGCAGTGCTGGTGACTGATTAACAATATGTTCATTAGACCCAAAATGTATGATAAAAATCACATTAACTGCAGATGAGGATTTATTAACAATATTTGCTCCTGAAGAAGAAAGGTCCACCTTTCGAAAGCTCTCAGATTATAGGGTTTTTATTCATTTCTATCAAGATTTCTTGAACCTACATGTTTTTCTAACATCATGTATCAACAATATTTGATGTGGTGGTTTCTAATAGATGTTATGTTGGATTTAGAAATTTTGTGAAAGTTAATTTTTAAACACTTTAATAAGCCAACAGGGTTAATTTCTTAAATTCTTGAGTCATCTATCAGTCACAAAAAGTAAATTGATATTATGCCTTTTGTTTTTCAGTGCTGGTGTTGGGAGAACTGGAACATACATAGTTATTGATGCTATGCTGAAGCAAATCAGTCATCGACAGAGTGTTAATGTATTTGGCTTTCTAAAGCTCATTCGACAACAGAGGAACTTCTTGGTTCAAACAGAGGTATATATTGAGTATTTATAAATAAAATGTGAAAATATTGTAGTAGACATATTATTGTACTTAATATATGCAGATCCAATATACTTGTTCATTAATTGAAAAAAATATGCCTATTATCACA